CAGTCTCTCACTGTGCTCAGGGAAACCAGAAGGGAGAGGGGTATGAAGAGAATCCTTGGGTCAGATGGATCATCAACATCAACTGTACTGGGTGCTTTCACATCTGTTCTGTTCTTTAAGTTGCAAAACCCAAGTGGTCAGAGCCTCGGCGCAGGTCAAAAGTCTAAGGAGGAAGAGCTTATATAATCAAGTATAGGAAAACCATAGGAATCAAAGGGACAAGCCCCAAAGCAATTACCTGCAGAAGCTCCTTCCAGCCAGAGCTGGGACTGTGGTGAGGCCAGTGAGCCACCTAGGCTTCAGAAGTTGAGGCTGCATTTACCCTCAGGGTCAGGGTCCTGCATCTGCCTCTTTAAGTCCTGAGGCCTGAGTGCCTGCTTGCCTCATTTTAGTGACTTCCCTGCCCCACTTTCTAGAATTTTCACCTCTGGAAAGGAGTTGGAGTTTATATTTTGTTTTATTAAGAGAGGCCACTCCCATACAAGAGTCCTGCCTTAATAAATGATGCTTGATAAGTTACTGAGCTGGTTAAAAGAAAAAGAAGACGGAGATAAAAAGTAAAAAAGGAAATACTAGATTTTGAAGAAACCAAACCCAAGGAAAACAATCTGAGTAGTAATCTAAAGATTATTGCCTTTTCTTATCATTCCCCAACAAATAATTACAGTGCAAAGGCAACTATAATCTGAATTATTTCAATAGGGAACAAACCATTTCTTAAGGTCTTTCTGACTTCCTTAGAAAAACTTCCTTTTTGGTTCAACTTTCTATCATCATTAACAAAATAAATATATTAATGCCCTCTGACCTGACCCTATGCTAGGTATTTACTTGCTATAATCAATGACACTGGTGTGTCATTGAGGATGTCACTAGGCTAGAAAGAACTAGATTCAAATCACTGAGTTTTCTTATATACAGATTTAGGAATTGCATTAAATAAGCTCTGAAGTCCTTCAAACTGTAGAAGGCTGTGATTCTATTTTTTTTTTTTAAGATTTTTTTTTTTTTAATTCATTCCAGACACAGAGATACAGAGAGAGAGAGAGAACATGAGTAGGGGGAGAAATAGAGGGAGGGGGAGAAGCAGGCCCCCCGCCGAGCAGGGAGCCCGACGCAGAGCTCGATCCCATGACCCTGGGATCATGACCTGAGCCGAAGGCAGACGCTTAACCACCTGAGCCACCCAGGTACCCCGGCTGTGATTCTATTTTAGGATTAGGCAGGAAGGAATGGGGGCCAACGACTCCATGCAGAGTAGTATTCAGATAGAAATGCTTCATCCAGGTGAAGAGGGGGCAATTCAGTTCCTCTTTTCTCTAGTAGCCCTAACTCTTGCTTACTCTTGTTAAAATTCCCAGGACAAACAACCGATAAGTATTTAATCCAAGACCAGCTTAAACTGAATAAGGGTGGAAAAACATCACCTCCCAAGATGACATTTCATTCATGCCAGCAATAATTTAGTGAATATTTACTAAGCCTCTGTGTTGTGCAAGGCGTTGTGCAGTGCAGAATGTACAAATGGGCAATCTCTGTCTGAACTTAAAAGCTGGAAGGTTGTCCTGCTCAGTAAGGACACACATAACCAAAATGAAATGGAGAAGTTCCGCCGGAGACCTACAAAGCCCCATGGCTGAAGCATAGCATTCTGGCTTGGAATCCTGGTCTCCATTTAAAGCTATGTACCCTGGGACTCCTGGGTGGCTCAGTCGGTTAAGCGTCTGCCTTTGGCTCAGGTCATGATCTCAGGGTCCTGGGATAGAGCCCCACATAGAGCTCCATGCTCCACAGGGAGTCTGCTTGTCCCTCCCCCTCTGCTCTTGCTCTGTCTCTCACTTTCTCTAATAAATAAATAAAATCTTAAAAAATAAAATAAAATAAAGCTATGAACCCTGGAAGAGGTTAATTTCTCTTCAGTTTCCTAATCTATAAAACGGGGATAATAACAGTACCCTTCATAAAGTTGTTGAGAGAATTAAATGAGACAATAGGCTAAAGCACCTTAAAATAATGCCTGATACATAGTTAATACCCAGTAAATGTTAGTTGATATTGTTATTTTTATTGGATTTTAGAGGACTGACTCTGGAGAAGGAAGAAAAATTTTATAAGGAAGTCATGTTAGAACTGGGCATTGAGAGATGGAAGGAGGACAGGGGGAAGGAAGGGGAAGGAGAAAAGAGAGGGACAAAAAGAAATCCTTGCTATAGCAAGTAGTTAATTTGGCTGGAGTGGAGAGTTCCTTAAAAGAATGGTAGCATGACATGCAGTTCAGAATACCATTGTAGAAAAAAAGAAAAAAGAAAAAAAAAAGGAACACCCATTGTAGAACTTAATATAAATCATTTAATTTTTTCTATTAACTTCCCTTCACCCCCATTTATGTCCTAGAAGTTAACATAGTAGTTAAAAAAAAATAGATGAAGTGTTATTATTAATATAGATATATAGTCAGCATTGCATTAGGATTACATCCCATATGGGTACATAAGCCTAAACATCTAAATCCAAAACCTTATGTATTTTTCCTAACCCTTTCTGGAAGCAATCTGTCAAGTTTGAAAAAGCACTAAGAATCCTTAAGTCTAAGAATCAGAAAACACATTCCAATCCAGGTTAACATCACTTAACCCTACGGGCCTCAATTTCCTCTTAATAAAAACGTATATACTACTATTACTTCAGGATGGATGGATAAAAGAAATACTAAAATGGTGGAAAGGGCATTCTAGGAAGGGGAAAAACTTGCCAACCTCCTTGGGTGGATAAAACACAAAGGCAACAACGGATGTGAAAGCATTTTACATACCTGATAAATCTTATATAAAACATAAGGAATTTTTCCTGCATACAACATAGACAAAGGCAGGAACACTGGACCAGAAGGTGGTGATGTGTTGTAAATATATATATATGTATACACACACACATACACACATAGGCTTTGGGGTCAGATCGACTTAGATCTGAATCCTGTCAGGTCCACTCATTTACTAGCTCTGCGACCTGAAAGCAAAGTAGCTTGGACTGCTACACTTCTTTCCTGCGATTGCTGGGATTTTATCAAACAGGCACTGTGAATCCTGTAATGGCTTGTCCCCTCACCGCTTCAGCCACTTAGAAGCATGTGCAGGAGGATCTAATGACATACATTTCAGAAACTCTTCTCAGTTTCATCTTATTATTTTAACTCTTATTCCTCCTTTTGGGGCCATTCTGATTTTCTGATTTCACTTTTTTTTTTTTTTAAAGTGTCTGAGATTCCTGCCCTCCCCAACCTTTTTTTTTTTTTTTTTTAAATGAGGCTGAGCCTAAAAATTAATCATAATTTTACCTCTTCCATCAGGCCCCTCTTGACACAACTGAACAATCTCCTGGACTTGGTTGTGTGTCCTGGTTTTTAAGTGCTCAACAAATGGTCCTTAAATTAATAATATCGACAAGGTCACAGTTCCACTGCCAAGTATCAGAAACACCCAAATGCTGTTAGCCAAATTTAGGCCTAATAAAAACTAAATTTTATTATACATTGTCAGGACATTTTTAATAACAGTGGTATTTTTAATGTGTTGAGTAATATTTTAAATTTGTTGGGCAAATTGCCATTTTCTACATTTCTCTTCAGGTAATACAGTATTTGATCCTCACTGTATCCTTGTGAAATTGGTTTGGTAGGCATGATTTTCTATTTCACTCATGGGAAAACTGACCAGCAGGGAGAACCCCAGCCTTCCACTTCTAAACCCAGTGCTCCTTCCATTCTAGCACACATCTCTAGGCCTCAAGGAAATTCTGTAAACAGGCTGCAAAAACCAAAAACTAAAGAAACTTACTTTTTGCAAACAATATGGAAATGAATAACAATGGAAACATCTGCCAAGAACTCATATGTAATAAATATAACCATCGATTGGCAAGATAGGTTTAAAACGTCGGCTCCATTAAGTATTTTTTTAAATGGATGCATAGCATGGAAGGCATAAAATATTTCCATTGTATTCCTGCTATTCAGCCTTAATTTGAATTAGTTCCCCACAGAACCTATACTCAAATATGATTATAAAAGGGATTTCACTATTTGGAGGGCAAAGATAAGAAAGCAGTGTCACAGAATGTGCAATGTGATATTTATCTCATGTACTCCACATTAAAGCTAAAAATTCGAGTGAACCCCCTTGGCCTCCTATCCTGTCCCGAGCCCACGGGGTGCGGTGCTTCTGATTAACAGTTGTCCAAAGCCCACGTTATTTACTCTTATTTCGGACACATACGTATTGCTAATAAAATCTGTCGGCTTTTGTGATCCCTGCGTCATGATAATAAGGATTATCTCCTTGCTAATACCTTAGTGTTTTTTTGCATGTCAATGAAGCAAAGAGGAAGTTACCTCTTCGAAGTAACTTTCTTTGATCAGTGCTACCAGTAATTTCAGGATCACCAGCACAACCTTGAGAAACACGCGACTATAAAAGTGTCCAAAGGATAACTCGGGCTTGGCCAACCCGACCTCAAGCCTGGTGCCGTGCTGGGCGGAAACTGGGGGCGTTCAGTCCCCAGTGTGCAAAGTAACCGACGGCTTGTCCATCTCACAGCTTGGCGCCGGATCGGGTGGAGGCCGGGCAGGCGGCCCCCGGCTCTCAGTGGCCCGGGGGTTGGCTGGAGTGGACCCGGGGCTGAGGCAGTGACCTTGACAACCCCTCCGCCGCCCGGGGAGGCTCGGTGTGGACGCGGGGCTGGGGTAGCGGCGCGTCAGCCTCCAGGCGGCCGGGGGAGTCTCGGGGCGGACGCGGCGCAGGGCAATGGCTGTGTCCGCCCCCCCGCCCCGGGACGGTCGCCGCGCAGGGGTCTCCCCGCTCCCCCGGCGCCTCCAGCGGCGGGACAGCGGCGCACTGGGGCGGGGTTGGGGTGGGAGGGACGCGGGGATCCCGGGACAGCAGTTGGGGATCCCCCCTCCTCCGCGGCCGAGGCGCGGGCCGCGGGCGGGCGGCGGGCCCTACCTCCTCGGTGGCCGTGGGGCAGTAGGAGATGAGCACGAGCGTGGTGAGCAAGTTGATGGCCAGGCCCAGGAGGGTGATGGAGTTGGGGGCCATCCACAGCGGGATCCACTGGAGCAGCCAGGTCCAGTAGATCTGCAGCGGCGGCTCGAACAGCGAGACGCCCGCCGCGCTGTAGC